TTTCGAATGCGCGACATTATAGTGTTCGATTTTGTTACTAAAAGAGTTTTAAACGCCTTCCGTTCTTTCGCATGTGTGTTTATGTGCGTAAACGTACGACCTTCGGTGAATATAAAAAAAAGAAGATTTAAAAAGTTTGAATATTTTTAAGAGTCTCGTCGATCCTCAGTAATCATGCCAAGCTTGATTGGATTCCACTGTATATGTATGTAGTTTTACAAACTTAGACGGAATACTTATGTTTGCGCTACTGAAGACGATTTGAGATTACTCTTTCAATAATAACGATAAAAATTTTGGAAAAATCTTCATTTCGAACGATTGAAGTTTTATAAGGTCGATTGGTCTCCAATCGAACGTACGCACGCTTTTATTTGGTTAATTCGAAATAATTTGCGTTCGAAACAATACGGGAAAGTGCCGTACCGAAGTGTAAACATTTATCTGAAATACAGTTAAAGACTTCTTAGTCTTTTTTACTGTCGTAGGGTTTGTTTATACGTGCCGATGGTATATGGAGCGGTCACCGTATTTCGACGATGCAAAATGAAAATTTCGAAACCGAAATATGCGTAATCAGAACTCATTTGACGTGTGTTTACCATCACGACGGGTACCTCAAAGAGAGAAATAGAAAAGTACGATGGAGAAAAATTGATTTATACGTATCGTGTTTATTAAAAAGAACATATTTTGGTACGTAATCCAGTTCCTCCGGTGCGTACATAAATCTCTTTTAAGGATCGAAATAAACTTTTAAACGATAGAGTTAAATTCGATCCGATGGTTTTTAAAGATATTCGCCCGGCGTCAAAGAGGTCTGTGCGTTACACGTTCGACCAGCGATCTATTTAAAACAAATGAGATGATAAAAATATGTGTGGTTTTAAAGAGTATTTTTTCTCGCACGCCAAGTTTGTTTCGTAAGTATGTTTAATATGACATACCGATCATGAAGTTGCAGTGCACTAAAGAAAAAATTGTACTCTTGCGAAAAATTTATACACTAATTTTTGACGCATCTTTCCCACAAATTGTTATTACGTTTATATATGTATCTATCAACATAAAACTTATAAAATACACTTGCCACTTTTCATTAGATTATTTTTACATGGTACGTCGATGTTCGAAGATATAAATCGAAATGTATGTACCGAAAAATAATATAATTAAGTATTACCCTGAACGGTGAATCACTTGGCTCGTGGGTCGATGAAGAACGCAGCTAATTGCGCGTCAACTTGTGAACTGCAGGACACATGAACATCGACATTTCGAACGCACATTGCGGTCCTCGGATACACGTTCCTGGACCACTCCTGGCTGAGGGTCGTATCAATTTCAAAGACTGCTCGTTTGTAAGTCACTTCCTTAGTAAGTTTTACCGAAGGAGAGATGCACGTAATATACATATGCAGATATATGATGTGACATATACGATCAAAATGACGATGTGTGTATACATAATGTGTACATATTTTCATGAACACTTAAGTGTCGTGTGAACGTCGTTCCAACGTGACATATACGATCAAAATGACGATGTGTGTATTCATTTTCGTGTTTACATATTTTCATGAACATTTACGTGTCGTGTGATCGTTGTACTGCGTATATTTACGAGAATTTTCAAAGGTATTTTACGTATTTATAATTTATTATAGGAGAGGGATGAACTTTCGAGCGCGTTGGACGTTTAACGTGTGTTGTTATGCGTGTGTATATTTCACGCACAATACGCGACGTCTTAAAATGCGAAAGCGACGTTGCATAAATAAATTTATCTTCGTAAGAAGAATTTTGTGCAACGTGAACGTATTACGTCGTGGAATTGCTCTTATTAACAAAATGTAAGATTGTAAAACCGCGTTCGTAACTCTACCGCACGCATATACCGAAACGCACACGTCTCGTATCAGAGATATATATATTCCGTATTGTAGCGCGATATGTTAAATCATATCGTGTGTTTATACGTTTAATTGTAAAAACGCAACTCATAACGTTGTAAGTAGTACAATTAAAGTGCACGGTCGTCGTGTCCGAGATAAATGAAATTCGAAGACATGTAAAGACGTCTGATCTGTGCTTGTACTTGAACTTACACATCTTGAATCGTTGCGTACGCGATTTAAAAACGTTTTTTAAACACACGTATATATGAACACAATACGCGCTCGCTCAGTCTTCGACGATGCAGCAATCGGTTTATATAACGTATCTATAAAGAGAAGGACGTCCGTTGTAATCGGTGTTAGTGTAGTTAAGTTTACGATTGGTTTTATCGAAAAGTTTTGCGAAAAGAGCATATAAGTACGCGAGTAATTTGTTCTATATATATATTTCAATCAATCGACCTCAGATCAGGTGAGACTACCCGCTGAATTTAAGCATATTAATAAGCGGAGGAAAAGAAACTAACTAGGATTCCCTTAGTAGCTGCGAGCGAACAGGGAAAAGCCCAGCACCGAATCCCGTGGCCGATATCGACCACCGGGAAATGTGGTGTTAGGGAGGATCCGTTATCCCGAGATCGTGCGGCGTGTCCAAGTCCTTCTTGAACGGGGCCACAGCCCATAGAGGGTGCCAGGCCCGTAGCGACCGTTGCCGATTGCGGGAGGATCTCTCCTCAGAGTCGGGTTGCTTGAGAGTGCAGCCCTAAGTGGGTGGTAAACTCCATCTAAGGCTAAATATGACCACGAGACCGATAGCGAACAAGTACCGTGAGGGAAAGTTGAAAAGCACTTTGAAGAGAGAGTTCAAGAGTACGTGAAACCGTTCAGGGGTAAACCTGAGAAACCCGAAAGATCGAAAGAGGAAATTCATTCGCGTTTCGACATAGTCGGAGTCTGATGATTGTGTGACGGATGGCATTCGTGTCGTCTGCGCCTTTTGTTTTTCTTGCCGGCGTCGAACGCGTGCACTTTTCCTCTAGTAGGACGTCGCGATTCGTTGAGCGTTTGTCTAAGAGCCGAAGTGGAGCCCGCGTAACGTTTTCGTTTATGCGAACCTTTGGATTTCCGGCAAACACGCTCGACGGTAGACAGAAGGCGCGGGGCCGCTATTTAGTTAGCGTTCGGCCCGTAGCAAGCACGTTCTGTGTTTGACGGCGATCGGACTTGTCCGATTCTGTCCCGGAGCGACTGTTGGTTACGGTGTTTCTCGAACAGACCTCGTTGTAACGCCGATCTGCGACGCTATAGCTTTGGGTACTTTCAGGACCCGTCTTGAAACACGGACCAAGGAGTCTAGCATGTGCGCGAGTCATTGGGATATTACTAAACCTAAAGGCGAAATGAAAGTAAAGGTTTGCCTCGCGTAAACCGAGGGGGGATGAGTGGTTTGCCCTTAAAGTGGCCGCTCCGCACCCCCGGGGCGTTTCATTCTCATTGCGAGAAGAGGGCGCACCAAGAGCGTACACGCTGGGACCCGAAAGATGGTGAACTATGCCTGGTCAGGACGAAGTCAGGGGAAACCCTGATGGAGGTCCG